CCCTCAGCTCTTCAGCTCAAGGCTAGCGCTCTACCACTTGAGCCACAGCGCCACTTCCGGCTTTTTTCTTTTTGCTTATGTGGCGCTGAGGAATCAAACCCAGGGCCTCATGATGCAAAGCAAGCGCTCTACTACTAAGCCACCTTCCCAGCCCCAAGAAATGCATTCTTTATCTGATTTATATACCCGTAACCCTCTGTACATCACCTTTATAATAAGAATAAATAATTTTTTTAAAAAAGAAATTAAACCTAAATCTGCTCAAATGATTAGGGCTGGAAATGTGGCTTTGTGGTAGAGTACTTGCCTAGCATGGATGAAACCCGGGGTTCAGATTCCTCAGTACCACATACACACACACAAAAAAAACAAAAAACAGAAGTGGTGCTACGACTCAAGTGGTAGAATGCTGGCCTCGAGTAAAAGAAGCTGAGGGACATTGTCCAGGCCCTGAGTTCAAGCCCCAGCACTAGCAAAAGTAAAAAATGAATAAATAATAAAAATAAATAAATGGATAGAGTTTGCGTTAAATCCCAGATATGCTTGTACCAGCACCATAATTAGCTGCTTCCTGTGTATCTTTCACCTGTTTCATTTTTCCATTAGATACATAAGTTTAATACTCTACAACTTTTAATACTTTAGTGAATGCTTTGGTTTGAAGCTAATGCAAGCAGGAAACTTGGTTGAGACCCTTAATCTCCAAATAACCACCAAAAGAGTTGGGAGAAGAGCTATGGCTCAAGTGGTAGTACACTTGCCTTGGGCAGAAAAGCTTGAGACCCATGAGTTCAAGCCCCAGGATCTGCACCCCCTACACAAAAACATTAAGGCTTATCAGTCCAATTTCTTATTACCTAAAGAAAATATTTTTATCTCTATATTATCTAACTGCCTTGTGTATAATTCCATCAAAATGGTCAGCCACTATAGTTTGAGACCTACCTCACACAAACAATGAGTATTTTGTACCTTTGTTGTTTCAGATTCGTAAACAACAGAAAGAACACGCTGAGTTGATTGAAGATTATCGCATCAAGCAGCAGCAGCAGCAGCAGCAGTGTGCACTGGCCCCACCCATCCTCATGCCTGGGGCCCCGCCCCCCCTCGTCTCTGGTGCCACTCCGCCCACCGCCAGCCAGCCCAGCTTTCCCATGGTGCCACAGCAGCTTCAGCGCCAGCAACACACACCGGTCATCTCTGGCCACACCAGTCCTGCTAGAATGCCTGGTTTACCTGGTTGGCAGCCTGCCAGCACTCCTGCTCACCTCCCTCTCAATCCTCCTAGGATTCCACCCCCTATCACACAATTACCAATAAAAACTTGTACCCCAGCCCCAGGTACAGTGTCAAACACAAATCCCCAGGGCGGACCACCGCCACGAGTAGAGTTTGATGACAACAACCCCTTCAGCGAAAGTTTCCAGGAACGGGAGAGGAAGGAACGCTTACGAGAACAGCAAGAAAGACAGAGAATCCAGCTAATGCAAGAAGTAGACCGGCAGAGAGCTCTGCAGCAGAGGATGGAAATGGAGCAGCACGGCCTGATAGGCTCTGAGCTAGGAAACAGGTCCTCTGTGTCCCAGATGCCATTCTACCCTTCTGACCGACCTTGTGATTTTATGCAACCCCCAAGACCCCTTCAGCAGTCTCCGCAACACCAGCAGCAGATGGGACCAGCTCTACAGCAGAGTGTCCAGCAGGGCTCTGTTAGTTCACCCCCCACCCAAACTTTCATGCAGACCAGTGAGCGGAGGCAGGTAGGACCTCCATCATTTGTGCCTGACTCACCATCCATTCCTGGTGGAAGCCCAAACTTCCATTCTGCTAAACAGCAGGGGCATGGAAGTGTTCCTGGGACCAGCTTCCAGCAGTCGCCTTTGAGGTCTCCATTTACACCTGCTTTGCCAGGAACACCTCCAGTAGCCAATAGCAGCCTCCCATGTGGCCAGGACCCTGCTACAGCCCATGGACAGTGTTACCCAGGATCAACCCCGTCTCTCATTCAGCTGTACTCTGATATAATCCCAGAAGAAAAAGGGAAAAAGAAAAGAGCAAGAAAAAAGAAAAAAGATGATGATGCAGAATCCACCAAAGCCCCGTCCACTCCCCACTCAGATATAACTGCTCCGCCGACCCCAGGCATCTCAGAGCGTACCTCCACTCCCTCCATGAGCACACCCAGTGAGCTCCCTCCACAGGGAGAACAAGAGGCACCCGAGCCGGTCGGCCCATCGACTCCTGGTACAGCAACAGGCCAGCCATGTTCCCAATTAGAAAACAAACTTCCTGGGAGTGACTTCTCCCAGGGAGCTCCAGGCCACCACACAAATGAAAATTCAGAGGTGGATAAACTCTCCACAGAAACTCCTGCCACAAGTGAAGAAATAAAACTAGAGAAATCTGAGACAGAGCCATGCCTGAGTCAAGAGGAGACCAAACTGGAGGAACAAGGTGACAGTAAGGTGGAGGAGGACATTGCCGCTGATCCTGGCTCCTCGGTCCACAGTCCTTCCCATTCTGCTGCAGCCCCTGCAGCCAAAGGAGACTCGGGGAATGAACTGCTGAAGCATTTGTTGAAAAACAAAAAGTCCGCTTCCCTTTTAAGTCAAAGACCTGAAGGCACTTTCTGCCCAGAAGACAGCTGCCCAAAGGAGAATAAGCTGGCTGAGAAGCAGAGCCCAGTAGAAGGACTGGTAAGTGTGAATCATGAAAAGTATATTTTCAGCAAAATGAGTAGCAACAACTTAGTAATTTCAGCACTATTTTGCAGTGTTTATTAGTCTCAAGAACCTTCTTTCTGATGGGATTGGGAATTGTATTTGGCACCTCACATTTGCTAGGCAGATGCCCTGTTACATGAGCCATCCCTTCAGCTGCTGACTTTTGAGGTGGGGATCTTACTTTTTAGCCTTGTGTCCTGGACCAGAACCCCCCCCCCACCCCCATACACTTCTGTAGCAGGGTGACAGGTGCATGCCATGAGCTGTTGAGATGGGCTCACTCAAACTTTATAGGGTAATTATAATAAATAGTAATACTCATTATGGTAATTACTAACATTAGCTTGCTTAAAATATAGAAGATAGGTCTGGTGACTTACACATGTAATCTCAGCTCCTCAGGCTGTTGAAATTGGAAGGATCATGGTTCAAGACCAGCCTGGGCTAAAAACTTAGGGAAATCCCATCTCAACTAAACAAGCCGAGAGTTGATAGTTCAAGCCTGTCATCCCAACTAGGTAGGAAGCATCATGACCTAAGGTTAGCATGAACAAAATTCAAAACTCTTACCTAGAAAATAACCTAAAAAGAAAAAGGGCTGAAGGTATGGCTCAAGTGGCAGAGTACTCGCATGGGACACTTGCCTTCGCAAGTGCTCAGTACCTCCAAAAGATGCGTGCGCCCACACAACCCACACACCACACACAGGAGAGCTGCTTCACTCCTATTAATGACTTGAGGACTCTCAGGGATCACTCACACTGGGAACAAATTGTATCATAGTAATCCTCAGTATTAAACAAATTTAATCATGCGTGTCAATTTCATCTTTGTGTTTTTCTTTGTGCCAATATTCTAACTATTTTATCAGTACTGAATTTGTTTCTGCTTTTTCATTTGTATGAAAAGCCTAGTTGTAAATATAGTTGTAGAAGAGTGCCCCATTTTAATGAACTTTGTTAAGATGCTTTGGAAACTGGAGTTTCTGCTTCCTAAGAATTAGTCTACTTGAAAGTTTTGGCCTCCTTGTCTAAAGGTGCTGGCTCTGTAGCCATTGTCAGTGCGCTCATAAGAGTTTCCTTATGGTGCTTCTCAGATTAGATTTGTCACTTTCATATTTTTATTGCAGTTATTCAAATTTGAATTTTAAGATAATTATTGAGCCAGGTGTCAGTGGTTCATGCCTATAATCCTAGCTACCCAGGAGATGGAGATCTGAGGACAAAGGAACAAAACCAGCCTGGGCAGGAAAGTCTATGTGAGACTCTTAACTCTAATGAACCAAAAAAGCCAAAAGTAGAGGTGTGGCTCAAATGGTAGAGCACCAGTCTTGAGTAAAAAAGCAAAATGAGAATGTAGACACCCTGAGTTCAAGCCCTAGTACTGGCATTAAGGAAAAAAAATGGATGCAGCTCATCCTTTCTGCGTGTGTTGGCATACTCTTTTTTCTTGTCTTTGATCATTCAATAAAGACTGAGCATTGACCCAGGAGATTCATGTAATTTTTATAAATTTTTCTAGTTAAGCTTTTCCAGCCACATTTGTCACCAGCTAATATGCCTACCTGGCCCAATTTCTGGAATTTTATGCCTCTTAAGAATACTGAACAACCTGCTGACCCCTAAATTTCTTTGTTTCTTTTCTTCCACATATGGTCACATTCTGCTGTTTCTGCCTACTCTGTTCTCCTTCTTTTCTTCTCTCTGGCCAATGTCTTTTTATCTGGAATCATCTCCAGGTACCTTCCTCAATTTGGCTGGTCTCAAAGGTGTGATGGCATGTGCTCAGGAGCACTTGCTGGGGTACTGTCTGACTCTCCTGGCCCCAGAGGGCCATGTATAGATTACTGGATCTTCTCATCAATACGAGTACTGGGCAAGGTTTAAGGGAACTAAGGACTAGGGGCTCAAGTGGAAGAGTTCCTGCCTAGCAAGTGCAGGGCCCTGAGTTCAAGTCCTAATACCAATCCACTCCAACAACAAGAACAAAGAAAGATGTTTAATGGCATGGGAACTGCCCCATGTCCAGTTTAAAAAGCAGGCATCAAAATGAAAGAGTTCAGGTATGATCCCTTGCAAGAGTTAAAAATAGGCGCAGATGAACCTTCTGCTAAAAGCAGTTAAATCTGCTTTTGGTGGTAACCGTGAAGATGAGAGGTAACGTCTGTAAAGCAGATCGAGTGTGTGCTCATACTTACGAGCACCTCTCACCACCTCCCCTCGGCAGTTAGGTGAAGCTTAGGCAGTGTCCCTCCCTGAGGAGCCACCGCATCCCTATCACCCAGGAGAGTTTTAAGACTCAGTCTCCTTTCCCGCTGCAGGCCTACCCACTCAGAATGTGAGATTGTCTAAGATTCCAAGGTGACTCATCTCTATGAAGGGGTGCTCTGCTGGAGGCCTGTGTGAAGTCCCCTGGTGGACTTGTTAAAATGCACACGCCTAGGGTCACTACTCTGGGTCTGGATGACACCAGAGTATCTGAAGTTCTAACCAGTCCCACAGGCTGCTGTAGCTGCTCTCAGGTCTGTCCTTGAAGAGACAGAGAGGGAGAGAGGGAAGGAGGGAGAGAGAGCGAGAGAGAGAGAGACATCGTCTACCTCCTGAACTAGAATGTTTACAGTTAAATGTTTGAGAAAAAAAAAGTCCAAGATAATATCTTGCATGAAAATCCAATTTGTCTCTGAAATTTAAAAGTTTTGTTGGAGCACAGACAAGTTCATTCATCTATTTTTCCTGGCTGCTTCTGAGTTATGGGTTTGTGACCCACAGGCTAAAATCTTTACCAAACTCTTGTCTTTTGTATACAATATAACTACTTGGAATGAAACTGGAAACTACAGCTGGGCGCTGGTGGCTTGTGCCTGTAATCCTAGCTATTCAGGAGGCTGAGATCTGAGGATCTCAGTTCAAAGCCAGCCTAAGTCAGCAGAAAACCAGAAGTGGTGCTGTGTCTCAAGGGGTAGAGCGCTCGCCTTGAGCTGAAGAGCTGAGGGACAGTGCCCAAGCCCAGAGTTCAAGTCCCATGACTGACAAAAAAAAAACCTACAGTTTTGAAAAACTCTCCAAGATTCAGTGTGAAATGAATAGCAGTAAATTCAGCAACTGTGATTCTCTATGTGGCCAAGTAATTAAATTACCTAAGAAATACCCTTAAATTTTTAGGTGTTAGCCCCTACATTAGAGCTAAGGTTCGTTACTGTGTCTGCGTTCTCTCCCTATGACTTTAAGTCTATAGCCACCATTTTTCAGTGACATGCATAGGAGCCGGTGAGGAGGAGTGGTGTGGCGGCTCACTGCTCTCTGGGGTCAGCTGTTCTCTCACCGTTATGCCAGGTCTGTGAAGCACTGCTGGAGTCTGTCAATTGTCTTGCAGACCTCTTACTTCACCAGTTTTTAGGGAGAACCCAAAATAACTCACTTTTACCATTGTTGAGAAGCTGCCCAGACACAGGACACACCTCCACTGTGCCCAGGAGTTGTGACTCAGGGGCCTCCCTTGTCCTGGGCATGCACGTTGCGAGGGTTCACGCTTAGTCAGCATAACTAAGGACCTTCTTCTATTCTTCCCACAAACTCTGCAGCTGAGAGGTTTCCTGATAAGAAAATAAGGCCCTAGAAAGAGGGAGGCATCTTCAGAAACAAGAGCCTCTGATTCCACTGTGCTTTCCTCCTCAACTTGCAATGCTGTAATAGCGATGAGTCGCAGGATGGAGGTGGTCTAGCATGAACTAAAGTCAAACGTGTGGATAGCTCACTTACTTTTTAACCTTTCCAATTACATTAGCAAACTTTGGGGGCTCAAATGCAAAGTGGTTTTGGATGTGGCAACAGCCAGTTGCCAAAATCAGATGGAGGAAATGAAACCAAGAAACAGCGAAGCAAACGGACTCAGAGGACTGGGGAGAGAGCAGCACCTCGCTCAAAGAAAAGGAAAAAGGACGAAGAGGAGAAACACGTGATGTTCTCCAACTCTGACTCCTTCACCCAACTGAAACAGGTGAGCTGTTCAGAGCAGCCCTTTTTAACACTTTCAGGAAGCGAGAGACCAAGTGCCTTTTCACCCCTATGAAGCTGAAGCTTTATTGCAGTAATTTCCTAATTAGAGAGAGCAGGGAAAAAGGACATCTGGACAAGAAACCTAATAAACTTCCTAATTCCAAGCAAAACCACACCTTATCTGTTGGTATCTGAAATTTCCATGGCTATAGAAGGATTGGTAGACCATGGTCAAGACACCCTCATGTTCAAGAAGAGCAGCCTCAGCACTGAGAAAAACTGTCCCCATTTCTTGTGGTTCTGGATCCAAAGAAATGGAACATGGACTCTCCTAATTTAAACTCTGTTCTTTATGTATGTCTTTGTGGTGATTACGGACGGGGTCGGGGGTACAAGCTCCTCACCACCACTGGTGGTACCTAGCCTCAGATAGTGGTCTCCTTCTTGCCAGGCAAAGACAAGGAACATGATTCTCTTGCAAGACACCTGGTGGCATCCCTTTAGGACAGGTGGGACCAAAGCTTCCTCTGAAGCTGGTATCTCAGGTTCTATAGTTCCTCTCACTCCAGTGTTTTGATACTGGAAGTTTTCAAAGTCATTTTCCTCAAGCCTTGCTTGACTTCAGGTCTTAGGAAGTTGAGAAACACTCAGTTTTGTTTGTTTATCGTGTACATTACTCTTAAATGTGTTTTTTAATAGCAGCTCTCTCTGCTCCCTCTAATGGAACCGATCATTGGAGTGAACTTTGCGCACTTTCTTCCTTATGGCAGTGGCCAATTTAATAGTGGGAATCGACTTCTAGGAACTTTTGGCAGTGCCACCCTTGAAGGGGTTTCGGACTACTGTTCTCAGTTGACACACAAGGTACGTCTCTTTGCCAGGTGCTCCTTTGCTGCGTGTTTGGAGGCCATGTCCCAGTGGGTAGTGTGTGTCTTGGTTTTGCATCTAGTTTTGCACCTAAGCTTCTGAGTTTCAATGGAACTTAAGTTGCAGCTGAAAGGCTGAAGTTTGACCTGGTGAAGTTTTTCCAACATGTTCTATAGAGAGCATACAAACTGTGAGGTACTCCACTGTATCATTCCCTGGTAGAGAAAGTACCTGTTCCCTTATAACCTTTATTCTTAAAGTGAATCAGATTCATAGTACAATGCAGGAATAAAAGGCATAGTTAAGCTTTTATCTTGAAAAGTGAAATAAAAAAGTTTTAGATGCATTTTTATCTAATATTTTAGGTTCTGATTTGAAATTATGTATTAGTTCCCAGGCTACTAAAATAATATGAAACCAAATTAGGTTTATCTTTTGGTGTCACCTTTCTAACAGAGTTGTTAGCATCATAAGACAGCTTCAGTTCATATCTGACTTACATGCAGAGATCAACTTGCGTTTCTCCGATGGCTTCTCTTCTAGCACTAACACTGAACCAGTCCTCTCAGTAACTGCCTTTCTTTGCCTCGGCTGTTCTTCAGTTAGAACTCCTCTCGGTGCCAGCTCTTCTTCCACTCACTTTATTATCTTCACAAAGTCCTGTAATTTCACCTTGCCCTTGACTTGAATGGTCTTATTGGTAGACTCCAACGTTCGTTGAGAGACTAAAGCATAAATGAGAAATTGGTGACAAATACAAGGCTGGAAAAAGTATTTGAAAAGGAACTCCATTCTCACTGTATTCCTTTTTTTTGTGGGGGAGGGTGAGCGGTTGGTACTAGGCTTTGAACTCAGGGCCTCATGTTTGCTAGGCTAGCCACACCTCCTACCCTCTTTTTCCCTGGTGATTCCCTGGGTCTCGCTTCCCACTAGGGCCCACTCCAGAACTGCAGTCCACCCACTTCAGGCTTCTAGTCCTTGTTGGGATCTCAGGGGCATGCCAGTGCATCCAGCTTCCTTCCATAGAGATGGAGTCTCATGGACTTTTCCATCCAGGCTGGCCTGGAACCACAGTCTTCCCATGTAGTTTGGGATGACAGACATGAGCTGCCACCACCCACTTATTGGTTTGATTTGGTTTGGTTTTGTTTCTTCTGGAGATTCTGGATAATCCAAATTCTAATATCTGAGATGTGAACTGCAGTGATAAACTTAAGATAAACTTAAGATTCCATATTCTGCAAGGGTTTTTTTCCCATAGAACTATCGTAAGGAAAATTGAGTAAAGGGATTTAAAAGAAATTTATTGATTCAATTTTAATGTTGCTTTTCACTAGTTGTAACCATGAACTTGAACAGTTACATAAAATAAAAAAAAGAATAATGGAAAGGAGTGGTTAGTAATATGCCCAGTTCTACTGAAGACCTCCTGGCCTTCTACCTGTGTTTAAAAATAGAAATAACTAAAAGCTATTTGGAGAAAGAAAATATTTGCCTTAATTCTTTCTGGTTGTTTCCCCTTAATCCTGCCTTGCTTCTGTTTGCTAAAAATTCACAGAACTAGGTCTTAGCAAGATCCTTGCATATTTGCTCAGTAGCATATAATTTAAAATTTTTTGGTCTCCTGCAGCAGAATAACTTAAGTAATCCTCCAACACCCCCTGCCTCTCTTCCTCCTACACCACCTCCTATGGCTTGTCAGAAGATGGCAAATGGTTTTGCGACAACTGAAGAACTTGCAGGAAAAGCTGGAGTTCTGGTGAGCCATGAAGGTATGATTGTAGCCGCTGCACTTTACACCTTTGAGAGATGTGTTTGGTGAAATGTCAGTAGAGCTGTAAACTTGTACCTGCACGTTAGCTTTGACCAGACGTGCTTACAATTCTGTATGTTTGCTTTCACAGTTACCAAAACCCTGGGGCCAAAGCCTTTTCAGCTGCCATTCAGGCCACAGGATGACTTGCTGGCCCGAGCTATTGCTCAAGGCCCAAAGACAGTCGATGTTCCAGCCTCCCTCCCAACACCACCTCATAACAACCAGGAAGAATTAAGGTAGAAGTTATTTTTTCTCCAAAGACTTTTTTGTTATTTCCATCTTAAAATTATTATATAGGATGGGTAGGGCAAAATTGGGTGATATTCTAGGAAATATAGATTGTAATACATTGTTACTATTAAATACAATCAGTTTGTGCATTATTAATTACCTAACTATTGGGGCATTGGAAAATCTCTCCTTGCAAAGTATTTTATAACCGTTCTTCCTAAGCTCTTAGTCTAAAATGAATGATTAGCAGTCTGACACCAAGGAAGTCTCACTATGGAGGATACATGGTTTGTTCTGTGAAGTGCTTTTAACGAGTTTATTCATGTTATTTGGCTCAACATTCTGGTTTTAGAGAACTGAGTTCCCCTAAATAACATCTGACTGCTTAGATCCAGGAAATCCATACATACTCCAAATCCTTATTGCTTCTTTTGAAAATTTGTATTTTTACATTATTTAGCAGTGCTAGAGATATGAACTCAGGGCCTCAATCTTGCTAGGCAGGCACTATGCCTCTTGAGCCACCAAATAACCAACCCTTTTAAAAAAGGACTGAAGAGTAGAAAACATAATCACTCTCTATTTGATGAGACATCCATTCAATTTTTTTTTTTTTTTTGTCAGTCATGGGACTTGAACTCTGGGCCTGGGCACTGTCCCTGAGCTCTTCAGCTAGCACGCTACCACTTGAGCCACAGCGCCACTTCTGGTTTTCTGGTGGTTTATTGGAGATAGTCTCACCAACTTTCCTGCCCGGGCGGGCTTTGAACCATGATCCTCAGATCACAGGCGCCACCCCCCTCTCCACCCCCCACCCTCCACCCCCCAGTTGCTAGAATTACAGGCGTGAGCCACTGGCGCCTGGCTACGGGGGGGGTCTTTTTTTGGGGGGGGTCCGGTCGTGGGGCCTGAGCTCTGGGCCTGGGCGCTGTCCCTCAGCTCTTCAGCTCAAGGCTAGTGCTCTACCACTTGAGCCACAGCGCCACTTCCGGCTTTGTTCTTATATGGTGCTGAGGAATCAAACCCTGGGCCTCAAGCATGCAAGGCAAGTGCTCTACCACTGAACCACCTTCCCAGCCCTACAGGGGTCTTTTTTATCCCTGGGTTCATGACTGTCAGAAAGCCGTCCTTCCTCCGGTCTTCTTCCACATAAGTGGGAGGGATAAGAGGCAGCAGATCCCCGGGGAATGGTCTGCATCTCATAGCCTGACATCTCCCCATTTCCCTGGTATACCTGAGCCTCAGACTAGACAACAGAGCACATTCTCTTCCTTTTTTCCTCTTCTTTTATCAGTTAAGGAAAACAAGTGTCTCCAAAGCCACAGTGGCCATCCTTTCTCCCCTTTACTGCCACCATAAGCAGCAGTGACAGCCAGTGCCATGCAGGTGTGATTTGGGTATATCCTTGAGGCTCTTCTCAGTCTCAGCCACCTGTGGTTCTGCAAAGTAGTGCTCATCCTCCTTTCTGTGTTGTTACATTCTCAATATCTCCCTCTCTGGCAGGTCTTTAAGCTTTGATGCTAGAACTTCAGTCAGGAAAAAATGGTCAGACCATCATTTTATAGCTAAACCTATTTACTAAACTTTTTCTCTGGGCTGTTCCTCATTTGACCCTACACTGATTGACTTGCTCTTTCAGTTCTGTCATTGCTGAGTGTGCTTGTGGTCATGCTCAGGTGACTGGTGCAGAAGCCCTGCTTGCACACTGAGCTTGCACACTGAGGTATGGATGTGCTCCTTTTTCAGGATACAGGATCACTGTGGTGATCGTGACACTCCAGACAGCTTTGTGCCCTCATCCTCTCCGGAGAGTGTGGTTGGGGTGGAAGTGAGCAGGTATCCAGATCTGTCTCAGGTCAAAGAGGAGCCTCCAGAGCCAGTGCCATCCCCCATCATCCCCATCCTCCCTAGCATCACTGGGAAAAGTAAGAACGCTTAGTTACATTGTCTCAGAGCACATGATTTTTCTAATGAAAATATTCTGATCCTAAAAAGTCACTAATAACTTTTCATTTCTGTTCTGTTCTTAGGTTCAGAATCCAGAAGGAATGACATCAAAACTGAGCCAGGCACTTTATTTTTTACATCACCTTTTGGTTCATCCCCAAATGGTCCCAGATCAGGTCTTATATCTGTAGCAATTACCCTGCATCCCACAGCTGCTGAGGTAAGAAACGAAAGGGCTTCTTAATACTGCAGAGGCGCTCCATTGTCAGAGGTCTGTTAGTGGCTTGAAGTGGAAGACAGATTGCCTAGTTCCTGAGGATAACAGATTCAGTAAAGGATCAGACAATGTCACAGTAAACATGTAGACTACTGTCATTAGGCACGTGATTAAGCTCAGCTGAAGTGAAGAAGTTGAGTTCTTGTTGGAGAGGGAAACATTCTACCAAGAGCCATGTAGATATTTATAATGCAATTTGTCGGCCATACTAGATTATCTAGAGGCAGACGGGTGTAGGCAGTCGATGAGAAGCCTGCGTGCATGTCTGTCCTGTGATGTACAGTGATTTTCCCAGCCTGGCTGTGACTGGCCAGCCGTAGGAGAGAAGCTCACCATACCTGCTAATGCGGTAGGACATTTCCCATGGAGAAAGAAGATTATCAGCAGTGAAAGTTTTAGAGAAGCAATGTTCTTGAGGTAGCATCTGCATACAACAGTAGTGATTTGTTCCGGACTTAAACACTTTTTAAACTCTGGATCTTGTAAGATGTTTTATTAGAGCCCAACCTCAGCACAGTAGCATGGCAATGTTTGGGGTGCTCGTGTGGACCACATAGACTGTTGTCAAGCAAGCCTTCTTACAGTGAGCACTGCTGAGTGCCTGGGCCTGCTCCCTTCTGTGGGCCTGCCTTTTACACCTTCCAGATACTAAGACTTTTTTATTTTCTTTTTGTTTTTTTTGGTTTTTGTCAGTCATGGGACTTGAACTCTGGGCCTGGGCACTGTCCCTGAGCTCTTCAGCTCAAGTTGAGCACTCTACCACTTAAGCCACAGTGCCACTTCTGGTTTTCTAGTGGTTCATCGGCAAGAAGAGTCTCACAGACTTTCCTGCCTATGCTGGCTTTAAACCATGATCCTCAGATTTCAGCCTCCTGAGTAAGCTAGGATTATAGGCGTGAGCTACCAGCACCCAGCCAGATCCTTGTCTGAGGATTTCTCTTCATGAAGGCTTTAATTGGATATGGTCCGTTCACACAAGTCTTTCTGAGAATCTTCAAGTAGAAATCGTTAGATTTTGATTACTCTGTACATGTCATATAGATAGTGTTCTCAAGCGTGTATTTCTAAGCACCTTCGTAGTGTATTATGTGTGTACTGTAAGCATGAATTTCTATTTTATGTCTGACTTTGCTTTCTGAGTGGGTAACACAGTGTTTGTGTTTTGTTTTAGAACATTAGCAGTGTTGTGGCTGCGTTTTCTGACCTTCTCCACGTCCGAATTCCTAACAGCTATGAGGTTAGTAATGCTCCAGATGTTCCCTCCATGGGTTTGGTCAATAGCCACAGAGTAAACCCAGGTTTGGAGTATCGACAGCAGTTACTTCTTCGTGGGCCTCCACCAGGATCTGCAAATCCTCCCAGATTAGCCAGCTCTTACCGGCTGAAGCCGCCTAATGTACCATTTCCTCCAACAAGCAATGGTGAGCTAGTGAGCTTTTTGTTAACCCCAAATCCATTCTCGATTCAGAAGTTGCACTTATTCTTGTTTAAATTTCTAATTTTTTTAACAAGTATTCGGCAGTGTTGGTGTGTGGCCTTTGGTGAATTACCCTTCTCCAGGCCTCTGTTCTCCGTGGTGTGATGTGACCTTCCATACGTTCGTATATGACATTCAGTTGTCATCCTGGAAGGGCTGCGTGTGGCCCTCTGTGCAGGCTCCTGCCACCCCTTCAGCGGCTCCTGCTCTGTCCCCAGCCTCCCATGCTAGTGTCTGTCTGCTCGCCCCATGCAGAGACCCAAGGCATGACCCAGCTTGTGCTGTGCTTTCCTGTTCCCTCTGCCCTCGCCACCGTTCTGTTTCCCCTGCACTTCTCGGCAGGGCGCCTCCTTCACACGGGGTGCTTGGGCTCCCGTCTCTCACCACCAGCATACCCTCCTCGGGCCCCTGTGAGATGGCTTCCTTTCTTGCTGGTATCTCACGTGAGTGCTTCTTCACCACCCTCCTGCTCACAGGTTTCCTTAGAGTCTTGGTTCTGTCCTTACAGAATCCATCAGCCCCTCAGCTCTCCTCTGCATTCTTTCAGCGTTGTCTGTGTTGGAGTTTTGAACTCAGCCCCAGCTGCTCTGTCACTCAAGTCTTTCAGCCCTTTCTGCCTTCACCTCCAGCTGAGTGACGCTCCAGAAGCAGACCTGGCGCCTCGTTTATACTTTACTTCAGATCTTTCCTTAGTTCTCTTTGGTGCCGCGTCACACTTGAGTCTCTTGTCTGCATTTCTCTTCTCCTGTGGCACGTGTTAGTGTCATCGTGACTCCTTAGGCAGTGGGACTCTCCCTGCTCTCTGTGCGCTCTGCGTGGATCTGCGTGAATCTGTCCTGGTGACTTGGGTTTGTCTGATTCTTTCATCCTAGCACTTCTTTCTCAGCTGTTTGAGAATAAGTGTTTTTTTATTTGTGCTCCAGCATCACATCATAGATGCCATGTAACCATTGCTTACTGGATAAGATTTTTATTAGTCTAAAGTACATTAATGAACCATGCTGTAATTGGTTGATACAGCATAATTTTACACCATGTACAACCTGTGTCTTTGGTCAGTTTTAATTACTAAAACGCGGGTCGCTTGTAGGTCTCTCTGGATATAAGGATTCTAGCCACGGCGTCACTGAAAGCGGAGTGCTCCGGCCTCAGTGGTGCTGTCACTGCAAGGTGGTTATTCTTGGAAGTGGGGTACGGAAGTCTTTCAAGGATCTAGCCTTTGCAAACAAGGTACTTTACTATTCTTAAGGTCCCTGCCCTTCACCCAGAGGAGGTGACCTCAGCAGCGGCTGCTCCTGGGGGAGGGAGGAGTCCCTTCATAGCACACACGGCCCCGGGTGGAGTGTGGGTGAGGGGCAATTTCCTGGTGTAGCACCAGCATGTATTCGACAGACTTGAGCTTAGGTCAGATGATTACAGCACACTGTCAAATTATTAGTGATGAATAAAATGGAATCTGGACAGTACACTTTGTGCAATCTTTTTTTCTCTGGCGGAATGACTAAGTGATAACTCAAAGTAGAAGGCCACTCCAGATTTTGCTGTCAGCTGTGTGGCTCTTGCTTGAGTGAAGTTCTGCTTGGGGTGATCTCCATGCATTTCTCTTTGTTTTTCAGGATTCCCGGGAGAGCATTAGGAGAATGGAGAAGGACATTGTCTTTTGTAGTAATAACTGCTTTATTCTTTATTCATCAACCACACAAGCGAAAAACCCAGAGAGTAAGGTAAAGTTGGGCCACTCTCACTAAGCAATATGTAATAAAGATTTCTATTCTGTAGGTACACAGTAGACATAGAAAGATTTCTCCCTCCTCATGGGTAAAGCTCCCAAGTAGAAAACCTAATCAGGTTTTCCTGAGGTTGGAAATAGCCTTGATCTATTAGACAAAAGTGGACAGCATAAATTAGATTTTTTTAAAGTTCATATAGAACACTAATACTGAAATCTTGTGTTCTACCAATTGCAAATATTAACCTTGGAAATTGTTTTGTTGATTTTTATTTTTGTGAGCAGGAAGGCTGAAAACCTCACAAAAATAAAATGTAACTATTCGTGCATTGTGAGAGAAAGCATTTTACTTGCCAGGCACCAGTGGCTCTCACCTGTAATCTAGCCACTCAAGAGGCTGATATCTGAGGATCATGGTTCAAAGCCAGTTGGGGTAGGAATGTCCATAAGACTCTTATCTCCAATAAACCACCAGAAAACCAGAAGTGGCTATGTGGCTCAAGTGGTAGAGCACTAGCCTTGAGGTGAAGAGCTGAGGGACAGCGCACAGGCCCAGAATTCAAGCCCCACAACCAACAACAACAACAAAAAAAGCATTTTACTCTTAGCAAGCTGCTTTATCTTGTACCAGTTAAGTGCATCTAACTATGTAGTTGATGGAATTGATACATTTTTAATTGTAGGTCTCGAAGCAGATGTTGTTCTTATAAGTAAGACAGCCAGTCATTCTTCCCTCCAGATAATTGCTTTAGTGTCTTTCACAAAAGAATAGTCCAGAGACTTATTTCTTTTTAAATTTATTATTGTAAAGATACTATACACAGGGTTACAGTTACATGAGTAAGGTAATGAGTACACTTCCTATTGAGCATTGTTGCCCCCTCCATTATTTTCCTCCTACTATCCCTTCCCTCCCTACCTTCCCCGAGGTTCTTTTTTTTTTTAATTGTGATTAAGTGATTACATAATTTCCCAAATTTCACAGTGTTGTGGAATAATGATGCTCATTTAAAGTCACAAGCTCAGCCGGGCGCTGGTGGCTCACGCCTGTAATCTGAGGATCGCGGTTCAAAGCCAGCCCAGGCAGGAAAGACTGTGAGACTCTAATCTCCAATAAACCACCAGAAAACCTGAAGTGGTGCTGTAGCTCAAGTGGTAGAGCGCTCGCCTTGAGCTGAAGAGCTGAGGGACAGCGCCCAGGCCCAGAGTTCAGGCCCCACGACTGACCAAAAAAATAAAAATAAAAAATAAAGTCACAAGCTCATTCTAACTTTCCTGGAGCAAATTGCAGAGACTTATTTTTTAACAACAGTCCCCAGTGTAACAAAATCTAAGCTATCAGACAGTTGAATTTAGAATTCTAATTAAAATGTGTTGGCTTAGGTGAGTAGGGGAGTGGTTTTCACCAGGTAGTTTTATGTGGGTTTTATGTGAAACGTCGATGTTTCACACTTGCACTGAGGCGCTGGCGTGTGTGCAGAGGGGAGGCTGTGGGTTATCAGGGGACCTGCTTCCCATCTCTCACATTCACACCAGCTGCGGACATGGAGCCAAGATCAGTGGCCAGAACGTTCAGGAAAGGGGAATGAGCTGTTAGCAGCTGACACTGCCGGAGTCTTAACACAAATAGCTAGATTTTCTGACAGCGTTGACGACTCTGGCTTCTTTCGTCAGAGAAGGAACGTTCACAGAAGGACAGCATTCTCAAGGTAGTGCTTTTGAAGAAGAAAGATAGGAGGGGATCCCCCTCCCCACTTGGATTCGCTTTGCCTGACCACCCTTAGAGGTTCAGGGCTGACTTGCGCCACGCCTGAGGCTTCCCTGACACAAATTGCTTCCGGGTGTGTGACGGACTGTCTTCCCCATGGTTTCCTTTTGCCTCCCAGGAGCCCATCCCTTCGCTGCCACAGTCGCCTCTGAGAGAGATGCCCTCCAAGGCATTCCACCAGTACAGCAACAACATCTCCACTTTGGACGTGCACTGTCTCCCCAAGTTCCAGGAGAAAGCATCCCCCCCTCCCTCGCCTCCCATTGCATTCCCTCCTGCCTTTGAGGCAGCCCAAGTGGAGGCGAAGCCTGATGAGCTCAAGGTAACGGTCAAGCTGAAGCCTCGGCTGAGGACTGTCCACGGTGGGCTTGAAGACTGTCGGCCACTAAATAAGAAGTGGAGAGGAATGAAGTGGAAGAAATGGAGCATTCATATTGTAATCCCTAAGGGGACATTCAAACCGCCGTGTGAGGATGAAATAGATGAGTTTCTAAGGAAACTGGGCACTTCTCTTAAACCTGACCCTGTGCCTAAAGACTACCGAAAGTGTTGCTTTTGTCACGAAGAAGGTGATGGGTTGACAGATGGACCAGCTAGGCTGCTCAACCTCGACCTGGACCTGTGGGTCCACTTGAATTGTGCTCTGTGGTCCACCGAGGTCTATGAGACTCAGGCTGGTGCCTTAATAAATGTAGAGCTAGCCCTGAGGAGAGGCCTGCAGATGAAATGTGTCTTCTGTCATAAGACGGGTGCCACCAGTGGATGTCACAGATTCCGGTGCACCAACATTTATCACTTTACTTGCGCCATTAAAGCACAATGCATGTTTTTTAAGGACAAAACTATGCTTTGCCCCATGCACAAACCAAAGGGAATCCATGAGCAAGAGCTAAGTTACTTTGCCGTCTTCAGAAGGGTCTATGTGCAACGGGATGAGGTACGGCAGATCGCCAGCATTGTGCAGCGAGGAGAACGGGACCATACCTTCCGCGTGGGAAGCCTTATCTTCCACACGATTGGCCAGCTGCTTCCACAGCAAATGCAGGCATTCCACTCTCCTAAAGCACTCTTTCCTGTGGGCTATGAAGCCAGTCGGTTGTACTGGAGCACTCGCTATGCCAACAGACGCTGCCGTTACCTGTGTTCCATTGAGGAGAAAGATGGACGCCCAGTGTTTGTCATCAGGATCGTGGAGCAAGGCCATGAAGACCTGGTCTTGAGTGACTCATCACCCAAAGGTAACTCTGCTGACTCGGCCCTGCACAGTCAGAGGCTCTATTGTTAAATTTAATGAACGAGTATTTCCTTGCTTGTTCACGTATTTCATAGATTTTTCTTTGGTTGGCAAGTACTGATTTTAGCTGCTTTGTTATCACATCTTGTTCTTTGCTATAAAGTTTTCTAAACATTTTCATGAGTAAATACGGGATGCGACACAAGAGTTGGTCAAATAAATGTGTGAACAGTTAGTAGTTTGTCATGACCTTGCAGCATGTGACAAGGTGGGAACAATACATGGAGCGTGCAGTGTTGCGGGCTGTGGTGTCGTGGAGCATGTGGTATGAGCGGGTGTGTCAGGGGAGAGTGGCTCTCAGGCATTTCACCAGGTCAGCTGTGCATTGTCATTTTTGTTGGCACAGGAACTACCAGGAGGAGTTGCTTTGTAAGCATTTGCTAGTTCTTCTAAACAAAGCGTGAAATGCGCTAAGCTTATTATCAGTTTCACATTTTAATTCAATTCAGAGAGGAAAGGAATATTCTGCAGATGGTACCATTTGGGCTTGTTGTTTTAAAATCAATAATATTTAATCAACATGAAAATGATTTAACTCTTATGTTGCTGCCATTTTCTAGACAAGTTTGTTAAGTTACTGCCCAGCTGGTTCAGTTTGGAAGGTATTGAGTATTTGAGTGGAGATTCTACTGTGTCCTGTTTCTCTGCCTGCTTAAAATCGAAGTCAAGCTGATGATGAAAAATAATTTCTTGTCCATGTGTAGGTGTTTGGGATAAGATTTTAGAGCCTGTGGCATGTGTGAGGAAGAAATCTGAAATGCTCCAGCTCTTCCCCGCGTATTTAAAAGGAGAAGACCTGTTCGGCCTGACTGTCTCGGCGGTGGCGCGCATAGCTGAATCAGTGAGTGTCTCGCTCAGGGCCGAGCCTGTGCTGCTTCCAGACTCACCGTGGCCACTGCCCCACATGCCCACACTTTTCAGAGCATGGCCTCATCCATGGACTACCCTGTGTGTTCTGAGGAAAACAGGCCCGAGGGATGATTTTGGAGACACAGGCCTCTGTCCACTGAGAGGGAACCCAGCCCTATCCACCTTGTCTGTTCCAGATGGGTGCGGAGCCCACCTTCCCCTCAGCCTCTGATGTTTCTGGGCACGGCCGAGTCCAAGGGAGCCTTCCTGGTGCTCTCCTGCCCTCTTCCCCAAGTGGGGCAGGCTGTTCCCCGAGGGGCAGCCATGAGCATGTCACTCCCTGACCCTCTGCCTGAGAGATAACAAGCCAAGCAACCTGTGCAACTGAACCATAGCTACACAGTACTTTGCAAAATCATGTGATTATACAGCAGTCTCTTCCAGAATAAAAGCGGTGTTGTTTGGAGGAAAGCCTCAGTGGCCCTGAGTCATGAGCCTTGCTGTTGCCCACGTGGCTGACAGCCTCTGTGACCCTAGAGAAATACAATTCCTAAAAAGTTTGTTCTTAAAAATCACTTTCCGAATAAACCTTCAGTTCCCACTATTCTAGACATTGAGCCAGCCCTCAGGCCACGGTCACATTGGAGCAAAGTGAGATAAAAGAAAGACATCTAAATGACTTTGAACTTTTCCTTTTTTCCTCTGAGCCCTGAGCTTGAACTCGGGGCTTTGACTTGCTACGCAAGTGCTCTACCACTCAAGCCCTGTCCCCAGCTCAGACTTGTAATCTTGCCTAGTTGAAAAATCCCAGATGGAAATTGGGCATTACTCTTAAGTGAAAGAACTGAGCGTGACTCGCCACGTGCCCGTGCCTGTGGCAGTCACCGCGTCCTAGCCCCACACGCCGGCTTTGCTTGGTGAGGCTGCTGTGGGGGGAATGGTTTTCCTTAAGGAGCATTTACCAGGCTCTCCCAGGTTCTGCTGTGAAACAGAACTTGAATATCCCCACTGACTCTAGGTTAACTTTGTTAAATAAAGGCTCATGTTGTTACTGGAGACAGTGTCCTCCGTTCTTTCCCTCTCAGCCACCCTTTGCCAACTCAGGATTGTCTGGGCTCTGGCTCCTGGGCAGGTGAGTTAAGCTCTTGTGCCTCTGCTTCCTTCCAGCTGCCCGGGGTTGAGGCGTGTGAGAACTACAGCTTCCGGTACGGCCGGAATCCTCTCATGGAGCTTCCCCTCGCCGTGAACCCCACAGGCTGTGCCCGCTCGGAACCTAAAATGAGTGCCCATGTCAAGAGGTTTGTGTTAAGGTATTTTGTTTTAACTTCACATAGTACAGCCCAGGGTTTCTAGGCATTGCTAGTGGTGTTTGTGCTTGACTTGTCCGCTGCTTACAAACCCTGCTGTCTCTGGCTGTGTGCGGCCGACATCCTCGGAGGATGCGCTGCGTGTCTCTGCTAGGCAACTTTCGTGTGTGCCTGTCGGTGAAGCGGCCTGGCTTCCATGCTGTCAGAGGTGTCTTCAGTTTTCCTTTTGTTTTCCTGTTGGTCCGCCGTCATCCGCAGGCCTCACACCCTCAACAGCACCAGCACCTCCAAGTCCTTCCAGAGCACAGTGACGGGCGAGCTGAACGCGCCCTACAGCAAGCAGTTCGTCCACTCCAAGTCATCTCAGTACCGAAGAATGAAGACCGAGTGGAAATCCAATGTGTATCTCGCCCGGTCTCGGATCCAGGTGACTATTTTGGCTTCCGGAAGAGGAGCAATAGGAGAAGGGGGTCTTGAGGTCTCAGTAGCCAGGGATTTCACGTGGTGGCAGAGGCAGACTCTTGTCTGCTTTGTTTGGAAATCTGTTTTCTTTTGAGTTTTTAATTACGGTGCTGGGGCCTCATATAAGTGCTTTCCCGTTGAGCCACATCCCCCGTCCCAGAATCTTATCTTCAAAGTCATGTTTAGCCTTGTCCATGGGAACACTAAGGGGCCTGGTACAGATGTCCCCCAGCCGAGAGCAAGCCAAAAAGCACTCACCAGCTGTGGAGCGCTCATTGCCGCTATGCCACACCCTTGGAAAACTACAAGTGAAAACGTTTGCACAAGGCACTCCTGTTTTGGAAGTTACCTCATCCTTTAGATGCTGTCTTTTCACGCATTTGATAAGTAATAGAGCATCTCCAGATAAAGCTCTTCATGGCTCAAGCATTTGCAATGACGCCAGTAGGCCGACACTGCAGCCCTGCACTTCCCTAGTTCCTGTCTCTTTCCGGACTTCCCAGAGTGGAATTGGGCAGTTCTCGTTTAGAAAAGGTGTCCAGTTCCTGGGTCTCCAGCCCACTTGTCCTCTGAGCTCCTGATGATCCTTGAGGAGTGTCACGGCTTCAGCTCCCCTCAGAGCCCACCCCAGACACCCTAAAGCTGGATGATTCACCCTCTCTCTGAAAGTTCTCTTCCATCCACTCTCAGCCTCCTCCAAGGCAGACCTGAAATCCCAGCTACATTGGAAGTAGAGATAGGAGGATCACAGTCCAAGGCCAAGTCAAGGCCAAAAGCACAAGACCCTATCTGCAAAATAGGTAAAGCGAAAAGGACTTAGGGATGTGGCTCAAACAGTAATGACCCTGAGATTAAACAATGATAATACAGATCCATATACGTATATACATACAGATCAATAGCCCATTATCTACATGCATGCTTGTTCCTTCAGTATAAGCTTTTTCCTATTCCCTGAATTTATTCTTGGATGTTTCAGGTCCTTTTATTTTCCATTTCCTCATTTGATGACCCTTAAGTCTGTTGTGTCATGACCATTAGTCTGAGAAAGTTCTTATTTTGATTCTCTGCAAGATCTTTTTTTTTTTTTTTGTCGGTCGTGGGGCTTGAACTCTGGGCCTGGGCGCTGTCCCTCAGCTCTTCAGCTCAAGGCAAGCGCTCTACCACTTGAGCTACAG